AATGACCATATTTCACCCTTAGCGGTACATGTGACTGCATGTATGTATGTACACTGAACAAAATTATAAACGCAACACTTTTGTTTTTGCCCCCATTTTTCATGAGCTGAACTCAAAGATCAAAGACTTTTTCTATGTACACGAAAGGCCTATTTCTCTCAAATATTGTTCACAAATCTGTCTAAATCTGTGTTAGTGAGCACTTCTCCTTTGCCAAGATAATCCATCCACCTCACAGGTGTGGCATATCAAGATGCTGATTAGACAGCATGATTATTGCACAGGTGTGCCTTAGGCTGGCCACAATAAAAGGCCACTCTAAAATGTGCACTTTTATCACACAGCACAATGCCACAGTTTTGAGCATCGCAAGTTTTGAGGGAGCGTGCAATTGGCATGCTGACAGTAGGAATGTCCACCAGAGCTGTTGCCTGTGAATTGAATGTTCATTTCTCTACCATAAGCCGTCTCCAAAGGCGTTTCAGAGAATTTGGCAGTACATCCAACCGGTCTCACAACCACAGACCACGTGTAACCACACCAGCCCAGGACCTCCGCATCCAGCATCTTCACCTCCAAGATCGTCTGAGACCAGCCACCCGGACAGCTGCTGCAACAGTGGGTTTGCATGACCAAAGAATTTCTGCACAAACTGTCAGAAACCGTCTCAGGGAAGCTCATCTGCATGCTCGTCGTCCTCATCGGGGTCTCAACCTGACTGCAGTTCAATGCTCACATTCGATGGCGTCTGGCACTTTGGAGAGGTGTTCTCTTCACGGATGAATCCCGAACCCCCCCAATACAGTAAAACTGCACATTTCAGAGTGGCATTTTATTGTGGCCAGCCTAAGGCACACCTGTGCAATAATCATGCTGTCTAATCAGCATCTTGATATGCCACGTGACACCTGTGAGGTGGATGGATTATCTCGGCAAAGGAGAAGTGCTCACTAACACAGATTTAGACAGATTTGTGAACAATATTTGAGAGAAATAGGCCTTTTGTGTACATAGAAAAAGTCTTAGATCTTTGAGTTCAGCTCATGAAAAATGGGGGCAAAAACAAAAGTGTTGCGTTTATAATTTTGTTCAGTGTATATAATATTAAGTATGTTAATATAATATTGTGTTTAGCACACTACACTAGAGAGTGGAGTTATGGTAAATCGGGTATTCAATTTGTCACAATTTGTTTCCAGTTTTAAAACAATTGTCTGCGAATAAAAGACCTTGAAAAAAACATTTTCTATTAACTCTTGGTCATCCATAAAAAGAAACAAGAGTGAGTCTAAAGATTTTAAAGCACTAAATAAATATGAAAGACAAAAGACTGAAACAATAACTTTAATCTCAATGCATCCAAGGACCTGAAAATAAGGGGGAATAAACTTAACATGAATTATCCATTATGTATTGTACTGAACTACAATGAACTCTAGAACTACAGCTCTGAACATATTTAACCATGCAACTTAACCTTGAAACGCTTTAAGTACGTTATTATTTTAAATACCCTCAGAACAAGCAACACTGACAGTTTTCAGTGATTTCAAAATCTCTCGATTAGTTTTTCAAACAAAAATATTAATCTTTTTCTGTCCTCGGCATATGGGGAGTCTAGTTCAGTGTGTCCTGTGCCATTTGTCCCAAGAGCCATGGCGGTGAAAGTCTCTCTGTCTCTTTCAAGGGCCGCTCTGTCCCGCTCCAGTCTTGCTCTGTCCTGTCCCAGCGAGGCTCTTTCCCGGTCAATCGCAGCTCGGTCCTTTTCCAGCTGCGCTCTGTCTCTCTCCAACGCCGTTTTCTCCCTCTCTGCGATGGCCTTCTCGCGCTCCAGCAGCACTCGCTCTCGGTCCAGGTCTGCGTGCTCCTTCTCCAGCAGCTGTCGCTCTCGTTTGAGTTTGGCTCTTTCGAAGTGCAGCTCATCTTGAGTCTCTGGAGTGCTTTTTTCCACGGGTCTCCCTCTCACGCTTTCTGCTGTATCTGATGAGGGTCCTCCATCAGCTACCGTTGTTTGAGTATTGACCTCGATTACTGAATGTGTCAGTAATTCCAGAATATCACTCCCCATTTCTACTTGATACATCTTCTTGCTGGGCTGGGCTGCACATTCGGACTCATCGGCCAGGTCGGTCAGTAAGGTCGGTTTAGGAGGGTCGGCGTCAGTGGGATCGCCATCTACGGCCTTCTCCATGAGTCTGAACCACCGCCAGGATTCTGGTTTAACTGTTTCAACGTCCTTCGCGAGAGCTTTTAAAACCTAGGGGTGAAAGGTAGAGAAAAATACATCAGGAGAATTGCATGTATACATGTTTCTAAGTAGATTTGTTTCAAAGTAGATTTTTATACTTTTTGAAGAACATAAAGAATGGTGTGCAACTATTAAACAAGTAAATAATTATAATTGAATATAAAGACAGATTCTATGTGTCCATCTTACCTTGTATTTGCATTTTAAATTCTCCCACTTTCGTTTTGCTCTTTGAGAAGTAATATTTCCATCCAGGTTGGATTTTGTCTCTTGTATGAATAGACTACAGAAAAAAAACACTTTGTGAATTTCTCTTTGAAAACTGCTCATAAAAAAGAAAATCCTTGGGTTTTAAAATTGATGACCCCTAGGGGGCTACATAGAGTTTGGTCGACACCCATGTCAGTGAAAATTTGAGATTTATTTATTTATTATTTTATTTTGTCTATTTATTTATTTATTTTACAAAACTCTCATAAAGTGTTTCCTTATGATATTAATTTAATTTTTCTATTATTAAGTTTATCATTTTATTTGTATATTTTTAGATTATTATGGAATTAATATTTTAAAACATTAATTTCTAAAAACTACTTGGAAATCATGAATTCATTCTACCATTATTTGGCTGTTTATTTCTAATGAGTTTCTCCTTGCCATTGCAACCTTTATCTTACTTGTTGGATGCTGTAGTGAAATAATCGCTTTACATTTGCTTTTAACTATATTTAGTGTAAAAACAAAACAAACAAAATAATATATATATATATATATATATATATATATAAAATAACCCAATTTATTTAATTATTTAATTTTTATTTAATTAAAGTTTTACTTTTAAGTGGGTATAAAATACAGAATTAAATATATCTAAATATAACTAAATAGTAACCTAATATTTTTCAATATTACATATTATACATTCAAATATTATTATACAAACATATACATTTGTATATAAATACATTAATACATTATAAAGCCAATAATTAAAATAATAATATAATTAGATACCAACATTTTTATTGCTAATTTTACATAGTATAAATGGATTATCATATATGAATCATCTGTCATTATATATTAGAAAGGGGGTCAGCATAAATGGGGATCCCTGATATTAAAAGTTTGAAAACCCCTTCATTATGAGTTATCTGTTATAAAACAATAACAACAACAATTGGATACGCACGCACGACATGTACTGCAGATGTCAAATGAATCACATATTGCATATGAATCACAATGAGTACATACTCCCAGCCATTTCTGCATGTGTTCCTCCAGCCTGAGAATAAATAGCCATGGGACATGCGCCACCTGATCAGTGTCTCAGTGTCCTTGTGGGACCCTGAAACAGAACAGCGGTGCAGACGAACAGTCCGGCATGAATTCACTGTAGCTTTGGTGCTGCTGTAACATGTGATTTTATATGCAAAACAAACCGCCCAGTCAAGCCACACCATAAACACTGACAACTGTCAAGTCTGAAATTATAGTAATAAATCCTTATTTATTAACCGAAAGCAGCTACACATACCAAGTGCATTAACGTTAACCCGGTTTTAAATCCACCGTGAATTTTATATATAAGCTCATAAAAGAGAGTTAAGGTAATGTGCGAAAGTTTTGCATGCGTGCACACAGTGCAGCTTTACACAATGACACTCACACTGTTGAGATGGTAGCGCCATTTCTTAAAGGGAGAGAGGCGGCCAAACTCCTCTTATGAGATATACAGTAATACCATGAATATTATTATTATCTTTCACTTCTTCAACAATCGTTTGCGTCTCTATTGCGGACAGCACTTCTTCACAGCTTTTCCAGTTTCTAACAGACGGACCAATGATATTAGGTCATTGCCCTCTAGCGGTCAGGAGACAAACAACTCAGGTATACTGCATAAAAATGATCTCACTAAAATAAGCATCAATTCATTTTCATCTTTAGTTATAGATTATATATCTACAAGTTTTATAAGACATCGAGTCATAAAAATGCTGAAACCTCTAATCCACAGAAGGGCTATTATTGTCATCTAAAACAAACAAAAGTTTTTTTTAAATAAAGCTGAAATAAAATACAACAAACATTAGATTCAAAATGTAAACTAAATGAAAATAAAATTACTAAAATTACTGGAATTAAACCTAAATCGTATTTTTTCTTTTTTTAAACCAAAGATCAAACAAAAGCACATAACAAAATTACTGAAAATTAAACTAAAAGGAACATGAAAACTGAAAATAAAAGATCATTCAAAATATAAATAATATAGCATATTAATAACACTAAATTAACAATGATCAAAGTTTTCTCAATTCTTTTTTGAATTACACCCATTTAAAAATAGATTTCATTACAAATTTGTATCTGCAATATTTATTGCACACTATACAAATATAAGATAATAATATACATTGTTTTATTTTATTTGTGATGTAAACAAAAGTGAAGTAAAGTTTCTCTGGTGTATATTTTTCAGCGTTGGTTTATTTGTGAAACCACAAACCTAAAACATGTATAGATGTAAACCATAGTTAACCAAGTTTTGACTACAAAAAGAAGTTAAATTAATGCCTACGAGAAAGATACTGTTTGTTGAACACACATTACCTTTTGTGACTCTATATGGGGTAAGTTGTCTCTACAATAGAACCTGTCATTAAACAGCATTTTACTTTTCAGCAAAGCTTAATTTTCTGAATGGCAAAAAGATGGACCATGAATCTTGTTTTGACATTTATTGTGTGGCACAAATGGTATTCTTTACTTACAGACACGGTTATTGTACATCATTTCAGTAATAAAGCATCACACTCCATGTTTCTTTCAACATTTACAAATCAGTAAACAAATCTCAAAAACATTTAAGTTTAGGGGCCCTTGTGCACTCTCTTAATGTATGTGGAATCTATTATAGACTGTGCATTCGACAAATGCATTCGATTTTGGATCGAAATATACAACAACAAAAAATTTATAATTTTAATTTAAGCAAAATTTTGCCATTTAAATATATCTTCAGACAACAACCCAAGGATTGTTCAGACAATCCAATCAACTCATCGCAGTATCTGTTTTTCCCTGAGGTTTGCCCTCTTCTCAGATCTGCTTCAGACTTTTTCAATCACCCTTTCTAGTAAGAATATTAATCTTTCTCTGTTCTTTTCATGTGGACAGTCCAGCCCGTTGCATCCTGAACTGCTTTTCACGTGATTCGTGATATGCGCCGACCTTCTGTCTCTTTCAAGGGCCACTCTGTCCCTCGCCAAAGCTTCTCTGTCTTTCTGCAGTCGGGCTCGGTCCTGTTCCAAAGACACTTTGTCTCTGTTAACCGCAGCTTTGTCCTTCTCTACCTGGGCTCTGTCCCGCTGAAGCGCCGCTCTTTCCCGATCAACAAGGGCCCTTTCCCGCTCTAGAAGGGCTTTTTCTCGGTCCAGGCCTCCGAGCTCCTTTTCTAGAAGCTGTCTTTCTCTTTGAAGTTTGGTTCTCATGATGTCCAATGGGTGACTTTCTGTCGTCTGCTTGCCTTTTTGTCTTGCCCGCTTAGCCAGATGCGGTCTGGAGGCCGGCGGCACATTCCCCGAAGTTCCTTCCTCTTCCAAGAATTCCAATATTTCCCCTCCGACTTTAATCTGGCGTAGCCTCTTACTAGGATGAGGTGCATTATCATCGTTAGCTTCTGATGTGATCACTTGCTGGCTGATCTTTTCATCAAACTCTTCACCCAGAGCATCATCCATGAGATTGAACCATTTCCAGCAGGTGGGGTTCTTCTCCACACCGGTGGGAGGATATTTTGCATCCTTGAAAGTGTAAAATGCATTAAACTGTTGAATGTGTTCTGTAAAAGTTGGCATTTGAAAAACACAATTAGCAGTGTGAGACCGACCTTATATCTTGCCTTCAGGTTTTCCCACTTTTTGGCAATCTGCTCAGTTGTAATCCTTTCCTCAAGCCCCATTTCTCGGAGTATTGCACTGCAAAAAAATAAAAACAAAATAATATCTTTGAATATGAACACAGGTTGTGAGAAATCAAGGCAAATTTTAAGATTACAAATCTCACCTCCAGGCTGTTTTAGACGAATTTTTCCTCCCGTCAAAAAGCGCCGAGTTGCTCGACCGCAGCTGTATCAGTTTTGTGATATCCTCATTAGACACTAGTGCACATAAAACAGCCAGTTAGTTAGCTTAATGCTCACATTACTAATTAGTTTCGCGCAGAAACGAACGACTTACTTTTATAGATGAGTTTAGAGCTGGTCGACGCCGAATCCATATTTTATATCACTTCGTAAAACAGATTTCTAGGGCCCTTAATAGTGCACGTTGGCAGTGTGATTCTGTTATCATACCCTCCCAGTGAAAATGGCGCCGTACGAGCACAGCCTGGATAGGCTGCCTACTAAGTGCCCGTATTTTGAAGGAGTGAATTTGCGTCCATAAAATGCATATTAAAATATTTCTTGAAATACAAAATTGGTTTGACTTACACAGAATTAGTACGTGTGGTTTGAATATTAAATTCAAGCGCATTAACGAGATCTTTTAATGGCTACTGACTAGGTTAAAAGACCAAACCAAAGACCAAAGAAAGGTAATTAGCATTACATAGGGGCGTGGCTTATTATACCGAAGGGTGTCTCTAATAAGTACAATAATAATTTTAAGCTCTGCTATGTGTATTATTAAAGTCTCTGAGTATCGTTATTATTTTTTAATTATTGTCCAGATCTAGATTAAAGAATCATAGTATTCACAAACAACTGTAATAGGTCTAACCCGAACAGCGCTGAGAAAAATAACAGGCTCCGCGGGACAATACGATCACGTGGCAGTTGTTACTTTTCTCAGCGCTTATCAGAATTGAACAATCAGAGTCGTTTGTGATTACTAGATAAGGATTTTTAAAAATCGTTTAAAAGCGAGATCGCGGCTACGTTTTCCATCTAAGTGTTAACAAATTAAGAGATTTAAACAGTTATTTTTAGTGTACAAATGTATCAAATTAAAACGTCCTGAAATGTGAGTACACTCGCGGTTCTCTAAGCAGCACTGCGCCACCTGGAGGAAGACAACGTTTGTTTCATTGAAATCGTTGCAGCAAGCATTGAAACAAACCAACATTTTCCACCCATCGGTAAAGGTGAGAAATGAGAAGTCTAAGCCGACAAACATAGAGTAGCTATATTAGAAGAGGTATAGGTTGTATTTAGTTATAAGGATATTTTGGTGTATGAAAAGAATAGGCCCAATGAAGACACATACTTGTCACAACTCAGTGGCAGTTCTTGACTACTTGATTTACTAAGGCCTATATTCATAAAATTAATACAATACTCTTAGATCAAATAAACAGCTGCTTTTATCCTACCCAGATCTCAACTAATGCACTTGACCTTTACAAGCCTCTGCTAAACTATTAATAAAAGAGGGGGGCTCCTTCCCTAATGAAGAAACAGTCAACAAGTCCTGTCAGGATGAAGTGTCAACATACAATTCATCAACTAATTGGATGACAGAAAGGTGACCCAGTTAATGTTCAGGGCTGCGTTTCTCAAAAGCATTGCGAGATTTTGTGAGATTTACTTAAGCTTACGATGCTTTTGGGAAACACAGCCCAAGTCTGCCAAGCAGTTATTGCATAAAACTGTCAGATGCATTTAAAAAAGCTGGAAAGTGTGGAGGAAGTGTGGCAGTCCCTCTGTGTCAAAAAAAGTGTGTTGACTGCTTTATACAATACATTTGATTTTTGCAGTGCAGGCAAACAAATATAACTTTTTGATTTTTTTTTTCAATAATGAGTTTCCTAAAATGTTTAAAACATCTAGAACATCTTTCTGTTCTAAAATTCAATTAATCTATAGTACATGTTTCATCTATGTGCTTTGCCATACACTTTTAGAAACAAACATAATGTGGTTTTGGCACAAACAGAATGCCATAATTTTTGACAACAGCCTTCCAAAAATGACAGAACAAGATGACATAAACAATGAACATACACATCAGCATATTCATTTATCTTAAAAGGATAGTTCAACAAAAAATAAATTACATTTATTCAACCTCATGCCGTTCCAAACCTGTATGACTTTCTTTCTTCTGCTGAAGACAAAAGAAAATATTTTGAAGAATGTTGGTAGTTAAACTGATTTGGATCCATTTGACTCCCTTTGTATTGATTAAAAAACAAATGGTTATCATCATTATTCTGAATATCTTCTTTTGTGTTCAGCAGAAGAATGAAAGTCATACAGTTTTGGAAGAACATGAGGTTGAATATTATGGCAGAGTTTCATTTCATTTGAGCAATGACTGTATGGACATATGTATAGTGCAATGCAATGACTCTCACACAGAACAACTCTGTTCCATTGGTCTATCGGCCGCTCTGCTTTATCATATTGATATCCAAAAGCATTTTGCATCATCAGTTCAGTCATGCGAAAGGGTGTCCTTTGTTGTCCAGTGTGGAGCAAGGGGGCTAATCTCTGTGCATATGTCCTTAAAAGCACTGATGCTGTTTTCCTCTTAAATTATTAAGCTTCTTCAGCGGCTTTAAACCATTGAGAGAAGATTAGTGAGGTTATTCTGTGACGGTGTGTTTGTGCATGCGTGTGTGTGCCCATGAAGTGTGTAATGTTGATGGTGTGTGTGTGTCTGTGTCTTCTCCTTTCTGTTCATGCAAGGATGCTATTCGGTGTCTAAATGAGAGCAGTCCAACAGAGGCTGATCGATCCATCTGTGCCAATTAAACCTCATTCCCTTGTCTTTCAGAATCACGTTTGCCGTCACGTCACATTGCATCTGTCACTCAAGAAACCAAAATGGCCATTTTGTACCTAAAATCTAACATCTGGATCAGATACAGGTGTGTATTTAGCCTGTTTAGCTATATAATTAAGATCTTATTAGTGCATGCTTGTGTTTTTATCCTGAACAGAGAGTTTTTGACATGCACTGTATTGTAATTTCCCTCTATGTGAATCTGTGCCTCTTTAATCCAGCAGTCTGTATCCTGTGTTGGGGAAGAAGAGGGGGTTGTATGTGTCTCTGTAATCTTGCTATGTCTGTGTGGAACTGTGTTGGTAATCCTGCTGTGTGTGTGTGCGCGCTCAAGTGTGTTTCTCCAATGTAATCCTATGACAGCGAGCATTTGTGCACGTGAATGGTCGTCAATGTTAAAGCATACATGCCTTATGCGTTTAGCATGATTTTACGTTGTATGGCCTGCCGCACGGGCACACGCTTGACTCCACGTGTGGGCAGGGTTTGACATCATCAGGCGTCATTGCCGTGCTGAGGTGATATATGGGACGGCAGGATCAGCAAAGACATTTGGCTTGATCTCTAACTTTCCAGAGGCGTGGCTGGGGGAAGGGAACGACTGGTTCGGAATGACGAACTGGAATTAGGATAAAGATAGGAAGTAGTCTCAGATCAGCTGTTCCAAATTTTAACCATTATGGAAAAATCTACAAATCTGGTCTCATAGTGTAGATATCTTGTGTTTAATACAAAACAGGAATGTGTAGTAATCCAGGTTTTAGAAGAGGTCAGTAGTGGGTCCTCTGTTGTGAAAAATGAATTTATTATGTAATAATTCATAATTTAAAAGAATATGCTTAGCCTATATATGTATGAACTTTGTTTTAAGACACTTAATTGCATGCTATTTACAATTAAAATGCATTATACTTTAAATTTATATTAAATGCAATTAGTGCTTTTTGACCCACTTTTTTATGTAATGTCATACCTTTATTGACTTAGCCTATATATGTATGAACTTTGTTTTAAGACACTTAATTGCATGCTATTTACAATTAAATTAAAATGCATTATACTTTAAATTTATATTAAATGCAATTAGTGCTTTTTGACCCACTTTTTTATGTAATGTCATACCTTTATTGTCTTTGAAATATGGTTAAAGTATACTGTCATATGCACTGATAAGCATTGGTGGTATGCTTACCTGTAAATGTCACTTCAGTTGAAACGTTTATGTTACGTAAATACACATTTGTAGTGATGAAGTTGCAATTAAGGACATTGAAAGTTTATTTACTTTAAATGTAATGTTAAATAACACACTACAGTTAAAATTATGATCAAGTACTTTACATGTGTATTAGTATATTTATTCAACACATTAGATTATTAAAACAATTATTTAAAATGTACTTTCCAAAAAAAAACTAAAATGTTCAATATGACATATTTACAAAGTGCACTTTTAAAAGCTGCTTAAGTGTGTTTAGTCATAAAAGTGTACTCTCTTGGAACATAAAAATATTTTAAAGAATTGACTTCCATTTTACAGACATAAAATAAAATAGAAGTAAAAAATTCTTTAAAATATCTTCTTTTGGGTTTCACAGAAAAAGAAAATCAGTTTTGGAACTACATGAGGATGAGTACATGATGACAGAATTTTCATTTTTGGGTTGACTATCCCTTTAAGTGGCCTTTTATTTAATTATTAATATTATATTTTCTGCAGTTACAGTTTTTACAAATATACTTTTAAGATTTTAAGTATACTACAAGTGCACATTAAATACAAATAAGCACACTTCTTCTTCACAAAGGTTGACATAGCAAATTGGAGGTAGGGGCGGATGCTCAATCAACTCTGGGCTATGGAGAAAGGGGTTTAGCGATGGAGCCCGCGTCGCGAGAGCCTGCCGCGCTGTAGCCGAGCGGATAGGCAGCACTATTTATAGCTAATCCTGTTTAAGCGAGGTCATGCTCTATACCGCTACCATCCCTGAGACAGAGCAGTGGAGTTAAACGCTCGCGTGCCAGCATACTAGAAGCACCTCGTGCGCTTTTAGCTCAACGAACCAATCAAAAAACACAACACATACAGAAATCACATCCAGGATTATCTATGCTTATTTTGCCAGTAGTTTCGCTATAGGAGGCAGGTCTATAACCACCATAGACTCTGAAGGGGGTGAATATAATATTATGATTAGTGCTGTCAAATGATAAATCACGATTAATCGCATCCAAAATAAAAGTTTTTGTTTACATAATATATGTGTGTGTATTGGGTATATTTATTATGTATATATAAATACGCACACATACAGTATATATTTTGAAAATATTTACATGTATATATTAATATTCATATAATTTATATTATATATAAGTATATTTAATATTTTTTTATATTTTCTTAAATATATACATGCATGTGTATGTATTTATAGGCTACATAATAAATATACACATTACACACACACATATATAAACAAAAACTTTTATTCTGGATGTGATTAATTGCGATTAATAGTTTGACAGCACTAATTGTAATACCCCTTAATTATAGGTACATATGGCCAAACAGTACCCCCAATTTTTTTTATAATCTTGATGATGCTCTGCTGCACTTCATTACCCATTGCTGTGTTTGTCATTACGATGACAAAAAGTTGAAAGTTATATTTTTAGTCAGCCTCACCGCTCATCAGTGTCAAAATGTTTGAGATGGCAAATAAAATTAAGAAGGCCATTTTACTCACACTTGTTTTTGGTCTAAA